CAGGAGGAAATAGCATAAGCTGAGGCCCCACAAAAGAGCATAAGTGTTGGGAAAACTAAGTTGAAGAAGAAAGATTTTCGAATAAAATTTCCAGTAAGTATCCGTTCGAGCTTGTCATCATCATAATTATTTGCAAATGAAAACCTATGCACTTCAAGGTTTCAAAAGTTTCTGTCATTATTAAAGGTGGGATAATGGGTTATGAACCCGTATTTTAACTCATATTTATTAAGTTTGGTGAAATATGGGTTGCTTTAAATTTAAAATATGGGTTAAAATTGATCCAATAAAGCAAAGTCCAATAAATGGTGGGTTCTAATGGGTTTGCAAAGAACCCAACTACATTCTATTTCATCCAAGAGCAATGCCTTCCCAGTGCTTGTGCCCATGCCCGGGTCATAGAGGCTGGGTCAAGGTCCCTTGAGATAGGGTTCGAGACTTCGGAGCTTGTGCCTAAGTCCACAGGGGTTAGGCCTGAGACCTTGGAGTCCCTGTCTAGGTCCTAGTGGCTATGCCTAGGTACTCACTCTTGTGCCCAAGTCACTAGCACCGGCTTGGATACATCAAGGTGTGGTCTAGTTCCTCAACAATTGGGCTTGGGTCCATAGAGGTGGTGCCCAAGTCCCTCAAGCCAGGGCCAAGGCCTTGGTGCTTGTGTCTAGCTCCATGGAGGTTGGGCCCAATTCCTTGGCGGTACGTTTGGGTCCCTTGAGATTGGGCAACATCATACCCTAGTGACTAGGGCCTAGTCCCTAGTGGCCATGCTTGGGTACCCGGCTTCGGCACCCAATTACTGGTGTCCAACCTGAGTCCATCATGGGAGGGCTTGGTTCTTTGGTAGCCATGCCCACGTCCATGATGGCTAGGCCAGGTCCCTCGAGGTCGGGGCTAAGACCTCAGTGCTCGTGCCTAGGTCCATGAGGGTCGAGCTCGGGTCCTTTACGGCCATGCCTGGGTACTTGATTCTCGCCCCAAGTCACTAGCACTTGGCCTGAGTCCATTGAGGTGGAGTTGGGTTGATTGAGGCTAAACCTGGTTCCTCAACATTAGGTCCACAAAAGGTTTGGCTCGAGTCACCAATGACCATGCTTGGGAACTTAGCTCTGTACCAATGTCACTAGCACCCAACTCGGTTCCATTGTTGCCAGGCTTGAGTCCACAAAGGGAGGGCCTAGGTATGTTGAGGTCGGGCTTAAGACTCGGTGCTTGTACCTAAGTCCACGGAGGCCGGACATGGGTCCCATGGAGGCTAAATCCGCATCCCTAGTTCGAATGGCTAGGTCCCAATATCAATGCTTGGGTACCTGGATCCTTTGCCCAAGTCATTGGCGCTGGGCCTCAGCTCCTCGGCAGCTAGGCCAAGTTCCAAAAGGTTGGTCTCAAGTTCCTCCAAGTTGAGCTCAAGACTGTAGTGCCAGTGCTTGGGTCCACAGACATCGGTCCCGAGTTCGTTGAGGCCAAGCTCAAGTCCCATGTCCTCGGGGGTTTGGGTTGGGTCCCTTGAGGCCAAGCTGGGACCTCGGTGCCCATACCCAGGTCCCTTGAGGTCAGTTCTAAAGCCTCTTTAAAAAATGAACTTTTGCATGCATCGAGAGTTGAAGCATGGTCTTCAATATGAACAAACAACATGATGACCATTTGACCAATATAAGTTGTTTGTAGTGAAATGGTGTAAGCTATATATTGTATTATAAGAATTTGATTTTTCACCCAAAAACATAAAATGAGCTGGTTCTTAGGTTGAATTGGAACCAATTGATTCCCAGTTCCAAAGCCTCTTTGTTCTTTTCCATCAATATGTCGCTCACTCACATCTTCACGTTGCTCATATGGCATGCAAAGACCAAGCCCACAACCCGATCCGAGCACCTGAGCTCCCTCACCAACTTGGCGAGCTAGTCCATAGAGTTGCCCATTCTTTAGAAGCAACAATTTAAGGAGAAAAATTGCTGAGAATTAGAATCCAAATTGGGTTCTAATTGAGTATGAGTCGCTGAAATTGCATTGCATAAAAATGGGTTAGTATGAGTTAAATTGGCCAAATTTGGATCAGAATATTTTTAATCTGATCAATATTCAACCCAACCCACCCGTTTGGCGGACTTAACTGTGAGCCTACCTTTTAGACTCTTACCAATCTAAACTCACCGGCAACGACTTGTGCGTCATTATCATCATTCTCGGAGTTGACCATCCATCTGACAAGATAACCTTGTAAAACACTGGCGGCAACATTCCTTCTGATGTCTCCTATTCTTTCACCATGCTAGCTACTCGCAGGACTAAAAGAAATGAGTCAAAAGTTCCAAAGACAATCGCCACGCGGAAAAAGATCCTAAACCTTATCCATGTCCACATCAATTGTGCCTCTCTCTTTCTCTCAATCTGGGTAAAAACAACAAGCGCTCTGTCCTCTAAAATTGCATCCACAAGCCGACAAGGAATCCACCAAAAGACCCAACAAATGAACACGAAAGACAAGCACAGGACTTCTCATCACTTCCTCAAACGGAACTCTGCTTTTCTCCAGATCATTTGATAAAATTCCTCTCTCCAACTGAACAATAATGATCCTTTTGAGGTTCGCTCGTGATACCGACTTGCTTGATCTTTGCGACCTGAGTGCGTGAGAGGACGACACGTTACGCTCTCCCTTTGATGCTTTGCACTCTTTCCTCTGTCGAGGATTCGAGCAGTATCGTCGGTCGTCCGCTAGATGCGAAGGAGAGGTGGTCCAATGATGGATGCTATGCATGAACCTGCTTGCTTTCACTCGCCCTGTTCACCCGTATTCTTTTCTGCCTCGTTGGCTCCATTCCATGCGTGTCCGGAGTTAGTGGGGCTCGGTCCTTTTCTTTGTCCACTGTCGTCTACCTAAAAAACAAGGAGAGTAATTACTGTATCTTAGCAAGACTATGGGTTTTATTGGCGTAGAGATTAGTGTTAAAGAAGTGCTAGAGTGGTTCTCTGTCTTCCTCAAATGAGCAGGCGTGATGGCAAGATGCGTGGACGTACATGTTCTATCTAACTCCAACTAATGAGGCACAAGACACGGATGATGAAGCAGTGCAAGGCAAGAAAGATCTGCAAGGTCATAAGATAGAATTATTCGTCACTGACGACTCATATGATAATCATCGCTAGTATGCAAACCACGATCAATATCTGCAGCCTTTGGAGTTTTTGGATATTCAAATATCGTTATTTTTTCAAGTTGTAGAGTTTCACGGGACAAGACATCAACGGACTCGAAAGTGAAAATTCATAGATGAAAACGTTCTCTTTGGCTCGTGCATAGATAACACTGCTCGACATTAGAAAAGGGCAATGCTGCTAAAGAAAAACAACCCACATAATATTAGTGACATCCCATCCTAGGCATTCGGCCTAATGGCACAGGACGCAGTGTGGTGTATCGCATTGTTTAGACTTAGATTATAGGCATTATAGCATGCGTATGCGCGCCTTTTTTTTTTTTTTTGGGGGGGGGTGCCAATCTTATCTCAACAAGCCAACAATTCGCTTCGACTTGGCACCTCAAAGGCTCCTTTTTAGTTACATTAGTTTGATTTTGTGTCTGGTGAAAAGAATAGCTCTAGGGTAAAAAAGACACCCTTTTCGTAAATGCTCAAACATGACCAAAGAACTAAAAAAAGTGCCCATGTTTGATTAGAATGAATAGGAAGCATCACTCGCCCCATGCATCAAAGGTAATAGGAAAAACATGGTGTACGGATTACGTAGATCAAATTATCTCTCCCGTCGATCATGAGAGCTCCGCAACAAGGCTTAAAGTGGAAACGAGCGATTATGGATAGGATGAACACGCGACGCTCCTGCATTGGAGGAAAGATTCAAGTTGGGAGCATCTCAACCGTCCCCGTGCGAGGCGATTTGTCGGTGGAGAGTGGGGGTGAGCGAATAAGGTCTCTTATGATGATCTTGTTGTCCCTCCGCAAGAATTTGTCCATCGCCAATTGCGTTCCACCACCTCCCCACGAATCGCGAAAAGGAGCCCGAGAATATACCACCACTTTGGAGTGGCACTCCAGAAGAAGTGCATTCTTTCGCTTTTCACCTAGTTCTTTGGCTTCACTTGCGACCCTCATTGGTTTAGTGCGCCCCATCAATGGAAAAGACGTGCAAGTAATGCATTATAGGGCGGCGCACCAAACTTGATTACAGACTTACGTGGATCTCACTCACTTTTACGGTCCTTCGCAGATTGATTCGATTCGTCGGGCTTCTGTAGTGTCACAGTTACTCTTATTGTTAAGTAGGCGGGCTGGAGGGTTGCCAAACCGATTCTATCATCCCGTCTATGCGTGTGCGTGGGTTCGACGACCCTTGCCCGAGCAATTTAAGGGTTGCCCGACCTGCACTTGTACCCGGCGAGGGTCGGTGGCCAGTTGTAGCGGCCTCCCAGCCACCGCCTTTCTTTCTCTCTGTCCCCTCTCGTTTTTCCTGTTCATTCCTTATCACCTTAGCAATACCCAAATGGTAATTGACAAAAGCAAATTTAATTTTTGGGAAAATGATACAAATGGTCCAAGAATTTTAGTTCAATGTACAATGTAATCCATGAATTTTTAATTTATTTAATGTGATACTTGAACTTTAGACCAATGTGCAATGTGGTCCATGAACTTTTAATTTGTTCGATATAGTCCATTAAGTTTTGATACCTTTTCAATTTAATCCCTGAACTATATGAAAATGTTTAATATTTTTCTCGATCTTAAATTACTGAAATGACTATATTTAACATTTTCATATAGTTCAGGGACCACATTGAATATATACCAAAAGTTCAGGGACCACATTGAACTAATTAAAAATTCGGGAATCATATTAAATAAATTAAAAATTTAAGAATCATATAAATTATTTATGTCATTAACACTTAATTTTTCATGGTAGCACAAAATTTGATAATGCATGAGGTGGCGGGTCCGAGTGGCAGACCGCGTTTTTGTGGGGCTTTAAAGGCAACACTACAAGAAAACAAAGTGGGCGGTTTGGTTAGGAGGTTTCCCATTGGACGATTCTTGATATCCTCCCAAGCTAAGCTAACCAACCAGATCACTTTAGTGCCGTCTTCTTCCTGTTCTACTTCTTCTTTTTCTTCTGCTTCTGCGTCATCCATCTCTCAGTTTCTGCAGCTCGCGTCCCCTTCCTTCTCTGCACAGTGGTGACGGTGGACACCTCTTTCTTTGAGTTCGATCCATAAGCCTCGGAAATGAACGGTGGCGACGCGTCAGGGGTTATGGTGGCCCAGTACATCAGGAGGCATCACAGGCATGAGGCCGGAGAGCGGCAGTGCACTTCGGCCGTCATCAAGCACGTCAAAGCTCCTGTTCACCTGGTATGTGCTCGACACCCACCCTTGTTGTGCATCGTCAGCTTTGCTTGCTTCTTGATGGGAGCAGTATGGACTTCTTTAGGAAGGGTCCTTGCTGTGAATCGTCAGCTTCTGCTTTCTCTCTCTTTTTGCTCTGTTTTTATCCGCCTTCAATCTCTTTGCTGGTTTCTCCAAAGAGTTCGTTTTCCCGAATTGGCTTCTTCGAGTTTCGATGGTCCCATAGAAAAATTTCGCATGGGGTCTTTCCCAAATGCTAAGTTTTTCTTTTTCTGATGAATTGGGTTGGAATGTCGAGATCATGGTTGTAATGATCTTCCTTTTTCGAGCATTCCACATCATTTGCGGATTTATATACATGTATTCTCACCTTAGCTATTAGCTTAAGCTTTTGAGCCAGAGTGATTCCCACGTTCGAATTGGAGATTTGGCTCTGCTTTCATCTCGCTAAACTCAAAGATGAGCAATCATTTTTTTTCTTCTTGATAATTACATTAGTCTTTTAATTAGCCCAAAACCTCGAATGCAAGTGGAAAGTCATGACCCACTCCAGGCTCAAATCATGTAAGTCACAAGTGTAAACTAATCAAACTTTGACAACCTCCTCCTCTGCATTAGTTATCTGGGTTCAAATCACACAAGACGAGTAATTTTTTGTGTTTCTTTGAATTAGTTGTCTGGGTTCTTGAGCTTATTTGATGAGAAAGATGAATTTCTCTTTGTTCTCAATAGTATCTTCCTTCTCTTTTGGCCATTTGATGGTTGTAGTTGTATCCTATAGCGAAAAAAGATGGATAATGCAGTACAAGAACGCATGAATTTTGTCTGGAACTTTGTTTAAGGATAGTTTTCTTTACACTCCAAATGAAAATTTTCTTTGTGCTTTTTCTCTTCATGCTTATAAACAAAATACTTTACTCTTTCACTAGGTGTGGTCCCTGGTGAGAAGATTTGATCAACCTCAAAAGTACAAGCCCTTTGTCAGCCGCTGTATCATGAAGGGTGATTTGGGCATAGGGAGTGTTAGAGAAGTGAATGTCAAGTCCGGGCTTCCAGCTACAACCAGCACTGAGAGATTGGAACTTCTTGATGATGAGGAGCACATCCTTGGCATTAGAATTGTTGGCGGTGATCACAGACTCAAGGTGACTCCTCTAATCGCCTCCTCTTTAGCTGCATTCGCTTTTTGGTATTTATCTAGTTCCTGCTGATTTTCTACAAAAGAAAAATTTCCATGCAAATAAACAAATTTTCCTTGTTTCTCAATTGAAATTGACAATCAGCGATCCTCCGTTCTCTGGTTTTGGCTCTATTGTGGTTTGTTTGGTGTTTGCCATCCAAGCTGTTGGGACTTCTGGCTTCTTTCAGCCGTTTAGCATAAGAGAGCATGTCCTTACTTGTTTATTGAAATAAAGAAAAGGGTTCATTGTAAAGTATGCACGTGGGTAGACTACTAGCATCTAATAATGCACAATAGTACTAGAAGATGAAGGCAGAGTATGACTTTTGTTAATGGAAACATAGTAACATTGCTGTCTCCACCTTATTGTGATTTAACACTAGTTATTTCCGCAATTCTGCAGAACTATTCTTCAATTATGACTGTCCATCCTGATATGATTGAAGGCAGGCCAGGGACACTGGTGATCGAGTCATTTGTAGTAGATGTGCCTGATGGGAACACGAAGGATGACACATGCTACTTTGTCGAGGCCTATATCAGATACAATCTCAAATCTTTGGCTGAAATTTCAGAGAGAATGGCTATTCAGGACCGAACTAAAGCTGTAAACAGCTTCTAAAAGCTTTATAGATAGTCACGAGCAGCGCTTTGATGTCGTCACGACTAGTGGATGCTTTGGGAGCTCTGCTGTCAAAATAGCTCTTCTAGAAAGCATTTGCTTCCGCTTGCTTGTTTTCCTCCCTTGGAAAACGTGTCTCCTCGCTTGGTCACGTTTTAAGGGAGACATCAAAGGCAATCTTTTGAATGGCTGGAGATAAGGGGTTTTGTCCATGGAAACGGTGTTGATGCTGGTTTGGTGTTTGTAAATATTGACATGGAAGTGTTGCACTATCCGCATTGCTGGCGTGCATATGCGCAGGTTTAAATTTGTAGGTAGGCTGCAAGAGTGAACTCTTGAATGACAATCTTGCTTCCTTATATGTACATAGTTGTTTCCGTTAGATGATGCTGCTGCAGCTTTTGCAATGTGATGAGCTTTCGTACATAGTGGAGCTTGCGGTTCGTCGATAAGGACTCACAGTACATATTTTTGGATTTCCCAAGACTACACGATAATCATCATAACAAGTATGGTTGTGCATCCGAAAGTGGATACTAATAGGCTACGAATGATTGTGCATACAATAAATAATGGGGTCTACTATGATTGTACCGTAGTTGACGTAAAACGGAAACCTGAATGGAGACTATGCCCAATCTGCAATAATCTGCCAATTTGAGTTGGAAATGTTCCAGGTTTCTACATGCCTTCTCCAGTGTTGTTGGCCTTGAGGATGTGTGATGCTGTCTCTACAAAGTTTTGCCTGCTTTTGGTAGATTAACCACGTTAGTGGACAAAATCTCGGGAAGGGAGCAATCGACTTGCAGAAGGAAGAGTAAACAGAATAGGATCGTAGTTTCCTTCTCATACCCTGTTGTTTATCCGCTCATTATCTTGTAGGGTTTCAAATCTCTTTCCCCATTTCAAGACTATAGTTAGTAAAACTCATCAACATCTAGGATTCTGGATACCATTCAACACATCTTTCCCATTTAACCTTCTTCCTTGATGACGAACTAGACCATCTATTCAAAGCTTGACTGATGACCCTGTACAAATGAAGTGGCAATATGAAGTCCATTCTTCGTACTTCAAAGTCTCAGAAGTTCTATATGCAAGCCTTTTCGTTTGTAACGACCCTGTAGTATGCTCGGAGTTGGAATTAGCCCAATGAAGACGGGGGAAATTGCTTGAGTTCTCACATATTGATCACCAACTGCAGCTTAGCTACTCCTCTCTCCCCATTTTTCAATCTAATTCTGTAGCTAATAGCCAATAATGATGTGAGTTTGACACGCGATCATGTCAGCAAGGCTTCAAGAGAGTTCATCAAAGCGAGTGAAACTCTCTGTTACCAGCAATCCTTACAGGAGCAGTTTCCTTTGCTCAAATGATGAAAGCGGACACCGTCCTTGATAACGATCTCACAGTTTTGCAACATGGAGATATACTTTGCCACAGTGTGACAATCAGAACAGATCCTAGAGCTCTTAATCACCCTGATAGGAGCACTGCCTTTTCTTTTCATCAGTCCGTAAGTGATTGCCAGCTTTTCTGTGTGACTTAGCAGCACCTTTTCTTTCTCAACATCGTCAATATTCTGATATACACAACTGACATCAGGCACATACCCCAGTTTCTTAATTTGGGAAATCAACTGATACAACTCAAAATAAATCTCTCCACAATCAGGATGAGTACTCTGCTCTGCAGAAAAATGATGTACAGTGCGATCAATTTGTATCCAGCTCCAAGCTTGTGTATGTTTCACCCCTGCGCTATTCATCAACTCTTTGACATGAGCAACATCCTTCCATCGGTTTGACATGGCATACAGGTTCATCATTAAGACATAGTTAGCAGATTTATCGGGCTCCAGTTCAAAAAGATTCTCTGCTGCAATCTCTGCATACTCAATATTCTCATGAATTCGACTGGAGCAAAGAAGAGCACCCCAAATGGTAGCATCTGGCTTTAGGGGCATCGATTGAATGAAATCCCAAGTCTCGTCAAGGTAGCCAGCTCTCCCAAGAAGATCTACCATGCAAGAGTAGTGCTCCACTTTTGGGGTTAAATTATAATCTCCGCTCATTTTATCAAAAAATTCCCAACCTTCATCAACTAAGCCCGAGTTGTTACAAGCAGAGAGGATCGCTGTGAAGGTTATAGCATCTGGGGTTATACCATTGCTGCACATCGCATGAAAGAGAGAAATAGCCTCTTTTCCAAGGCCGTATATGGCAAACCCCATGATCATGCAATTGTAGGATGCCAATGAATTTTTATGAATCCTCTTGAAAACTTTGTGGGCACTTCTCCAGTTGCCTGACTTATTGTACATGTCAATGATTGCTGTTGCTACATAAACATCTCGAGTCACACCAATTTTTACACTGAGGCAGTGTATCTCTTTTCCCTTTTGCAGTAGAGAGAGGCCTCCACAGATTCGAAGTATGGTGGATATGGTGGCAGCATTAGGCTCAATACCTTCTTCTTGCATTCGGATGAAAAATTCAAGGGATTCCCTATATTTTCCATTCTGTGAACACCCTGATATGAGGGCAGTCCAGGATATCACATTAGGAGTCAATCCAGAGAGCTTGATCTGATGAATCATGTCCAAAGCCTTCTCAGTGTGGCCCCACATTGAATAGCCAGAGACCATACTATTCCATGTCACTATATCGGCTTTAATTCCTGCCTCTTCCATTTGACCAACTAAGTTTTCAGCATCTTGAAGATGACCCTTAAATGAATACCCAGATATCAATGAATTCCACGCAAATATGTTTTTGCTCTTTAAGTTATTGAAAACTGCTCGAGCAATGTCCAGGCAGTCACTTTTCACGTACATGTCCACTATTGAAGTTCCCACATATACATCATAATGAAGATCATGCCTCATCACATAACCGTGTATTTCCTTCCCATGAGGTAATAATCCCAGTTCGATGACTGACTGGAGACCACAGGTTATGGAGCTCGAATTCGGTTGAATTCCAGAAGTTTGCATCGTGCGCAAGATGGTCAGGACGTCCTCGTAGGAGCCATTAAGAGTATGCCCTGACAAAAGGCAGTTCCAGGTTATAATGTCCGGCTCAATTGTGGAAGATTCCAGCTTATGGAAGTGACTCCATGCATCATTTAGAAAGCCAAATGAGGCAAAAGCATAGATAATGGAATTCCATGAAGTTAAGTTATGATCTTCCATCGAATTAAAAACTGCTCCAGCACGTTCAAGCTCTCCATTTTTGGCGTACATACTGATGAGAACGTTGCAAATTGGCACGCTTGATTCCATTCCAAACCTCAAAACATGGGCATGAATTTGCTTTCCTTGTGCGAGGGCTTTCAATTTGCCGCAAGCTTGCAGCACTCTGACAGTCGTTGTGCATTTCACCTTCATGCAAGAATACTGCATATCTCGAAATAGCTCTAAAGCTCTTATCCACTGCCCCTGCTTCATGTTCAACTTAACTGCTTCATTCCATACAACATCTTCTCGCTTCGGCATTTCGTTAAACACTTGATTGGCACGCTCTATGCCCCAACATCTCTCATAGAAGTTCATCAGGGCACGCTGGAGATGAGCATCGGAATCAAGGGACGTCTTGATCACAAAAGCATGAATCACTACACCCAACCACAAGTCCAATACACAAGTGCAAACTCTCAATGCAACAGTGAAGATCCTAGCATCAAAGACCATTCCTTTACAACGCAAGTCGTCGAATACCTCAAGAATCTGGACAGGCAGTTCCCTGAAGTCCTTCAATTCCTCCGAGAAAGAGTTCCATCCAACGTTGCTTCTGGCTAGGCCCAGCAAGAGAGCTAACGCGGCTGATCTATGATCTCCAAAGTTCACGTAATGCCTGATCAGGATCTTCACCAAGTGGTCATCAAAACTCCACTTGCCAGGCATTTTTATCATCTGGGCATGGATCATCTTCACAGACGCCAAAGAGTTGACCCCACTAAAGCCACCCACCACCGCGGGGACACTCGAAGGGGAAAGCTGCAAAGCGTAGGCTGGAGTTGCCGTACAAGGGGCAGTGTCACCAAGAGCAGGGCACGAGAGAGAATGGCATCTGAGCTTGGGGTTCTGGGTCTGAGGTTTTCTAAGGAAGAGTGTGTTGGTCTGGTGAAATGGAGGGAGTCCGTCCATGGCGGGTTACGTGGGTCGTTATCAGTTGGTCTCAGAAGAAGATGGCAGTTACGAGAGTAGCGCCACTGCCAGTGAGGGGGCTGCATTTGGAGTTGAAACTGCGAAAAAGAGCCAAAATAGGTTCCGAACTCTTCTTCTTCACCTTTGTGGATAAGCTGATAAGGTTGGTGCAATCCCAGAAGACGATATTTCTTTCCTTTTTTTTATGCCAAGTCTGCTTGACAGTACCGGAAAAAAGTTAAAGCTACCCTCCAAAATTTGCAAAATTGTAAGATACTACTTTAAATTTCAGAAAATTATGAAAAAAATTACATGTGATTCTACACGTCAATGTTTGAATAATTTGATAGGTTTCAAATATTTCGCATCACAGAAATGTCAAGATGGGAAAACCGCGAAGTTATGAAAAAGTCAAGTTGAAAGATGGAAAGTCCGACCGCCAGTGCTCCTTTCCCATCGTCGATGAAATGAATTCCATGCCAGATCGGTGTGATGGTTGTAGCAGATGAAGGTGTGCTCTGTGTCATTAAGGTTTTCTGGTGGTCTGGGAAATAACATCAGTGGTAACTTGTACGTTACCAAAGCATGTTGCAGAATCAACGGCCACAACATACATTGGACTCGTACATCCTTATGCTTCCGCAGTCTCCCTGCGACTCTCTGATAGTTTACTCTGTATACCTTCCGTGTCACTGTCCTGGGGTGTCTTTGGTTTCTTGGCTGGCTAAGATGAAGAGATTGTTTGATCTTCACCAATTTCTATTTGGACGTGAAAGTTGTAACTTTTGCTTTTAAAACTTTTGGCACCAGATTTGGTGTATTGGTTCACATGCAATATTTGAGGTTGACCTGTTTGTTGGCCGATCGCAAGGTAGGAGGTTTCCAGTCCTCCAGCACCCTTACCACAATATATAGGAGTTCATAATCGCAAATACTCTCTCTCTCTTTCTCTTTCACATGTGCACGCAGGCGCACAGAGAAGCTTACGGGCACAACATGAGTTCCACTCGGTAGTTGAGAACTGAGGAATATGCATCGGTTGTTTTGCATAAGAGATCTTTCATCAGGTTCTTCTGATACTTTCAGTAATTCCTTGAGGATGATTCATCTAGAATTCCGAAATGTTACTAAAGTTTTCTTTATGTGCTTGAGCTAAGGATGAAAATCTGCTTTGGAAGAGGAAAGAGCGAACCCCATTGACTTCCCACCCAAAAACTTGGGTTGAATTGTATTCATGAAAACACCGGCGAATGACATTAAGCAACATAGACCAGAAAAGAAACATGTTCTACAAACACATACATTCCACACTATCTTTAGGCACAGGAAATGAAATTGAATATGTATTTCATCAAACTGCATCATGGGAGGCCCCCACATTGTGAAAACAAAAAGATTAGCATCTTCCATGATCTGTGTTCAATATACCTGACCAGAAGTACGTTCAGATCTGATTCATAGATCATTCCAAAACCATAAAACTGTGTACATTCATACCCAACTTTTTATGAAGCACTTTGCTTACAGCAACCTAGAGGAAGAAGTAACAGCAAAACAAGTTGAGAGCTCTGCAAGGTAGTTACTATGGTGGAACTTCAATTTACAATCAAAGACCCTCACAATTGGTCTTAAGATCTTGCTAAATGTATTGGCTAGTTTGCAAAATATGTAGTTCAACAATAATTTCACCAACGTTGCCTTGGCCGACCATCAGGAAACACAGGAGCAAGCACTTTCTGATCCTTGTTTCTCGAAGTATCAGCCTTGCTTATCCGCAATTTCACACTTCCAGCATCATCAGTAAAATCTGGTGGTGCATTATCGTCTTCATCAGTCCAATCATCATCAGAATCCCCATCATCATCCTCATCATTGTCATCATAAAATCCATCATCCTCATCAATTGCATTATCAACATCAGGCCAGTCTTCCTCATCCTCTAGACCACTTTCACCCTCTTGATCGTCAGTTCTCTCTGCTCCATCATCACCTCTTCTAGAAGCATTCCTCCTCGGGAACCTAGGAACATTAACAAGTGAACGGAGCTTTTCTTTGATGAGCAACAGCCGATCTTTCTCTATCAAGTGAGAATTGCGATATGCTTCCCGGAGGAAAACCGAATCCCTTTCCCCCTTCAGAGACACATAGAACAAATCAGGATGCCTGATCAACATTCCTCTCAATTGCTGAGAGAATCTGAATTCCTCTCTAAAATGAGTGAGGTGATCAACCAGAGTTCTTTTCTCCACAGTGAGGCTCAGGATCTCGTGCACAACCCCACAGGCGTGCTTCTCTTTCTCTGGAGTACCCGGCCTAATTGCTGAAAAATCAGAATAGGGAGATATATAAGGCATGTCCCGGAACTTACCAATCCTCCTCATCTCACCCCTGGCCAGGTTGAGACCCTTGGGTAGCTTCACTCTGTTGAACTTGACAGGCCGATCGATAATCAAATCTTTCTCCTCTAACTCCTTGGCCCTGGTTTCCTCTTCTGAGAGCTCAGCAGCTGATACTGCAAGCTCGGGGTCCCAGTGAGTTAGTTCCAAGGCAGGGCCTCGTGCTGTTGCCACAACTCTGAAATATTGTGGATAACGGTGACAGATTGTATCGCGAAATTCCAGAGGAAGGCCAAAATCAGTCCTCAGATGAGCAATCTTCTCCATCAGTATACGCTTCTCGAGAGACATCATCAACAGCTTCCTAAGCTTCAAAACAAGCATATCCTCCATCTCATTCCTCACCCTCAACTCCTCCAAGTACAGCCTCTCAGCTTCCGCCGTCAGCTTGAATTTCAGCGAGTACACTCCCTCCTCGACAATCTCAAACACAGCCGGAAACTTATGCAGCAAAGCAATGAACCGCCTCTTTTTCGTCAACCCGAGATCCCGCCGATACTTCCCCAACTCCCTAAGCGACATGGTACAATCAGGCTGGCTCACTAGGATCTTCCTAATCTTTAACACCAACTTCAACTTCTTGTCCCTTTGGATCACATTGTCGAGGGGTAGCTCCTTCCTCCTCTTAACCACAGCTCTCACGGGCCAAAAGGGTACGTAACCCTTTCTTGAATTATCACCAAAAGCCCCACCCTTTCCAGGAAAAATTAAACTGCCTCCCAAGAATGGAGTTTTCTGGGTGACCAGTGGGGAGACCCGCAAAAGGGGTCTCAAAGGAATTCTGGGCTTATCAAGAAAGTGATGCAAAAAGGGTACAGGAGCAGTTGCCGAGCATTTAGGCGAGCAAAACAACAACTTGGGGTCCATAGTTATGGGAGTTTAATGAGCCGAAGGTACCGATGAACATGCGAATCAAAGCATCTATGCATGGAAGATACAGAGCTAAAGTGAATATTGCAATTGAGAAACACAGAGAGAAGCGAACAAGATGACTCACCCCGCCTCCGCTTGTGGAGAGCGAGTTTTGGTTTGCCGGTGTCGTTTTGTGGTGGGAGTTAGCCGATGGTATGGGCCATTTGGTGGCCGCGGTTTGGCGGTCGTCGAGGGGTGAGCCGGCGACGGTTGTGGTGGCCGGAGGCAGGATGAGAGCCCCGTATGGGCGGTCGGCGGTGAGAGCGTGAGCCCAGTGCCGGTCGTCGGAGTTGGCGGCACGCGTCGTCGGTCGGAGGCAGAGAAGCGTTCTCGATGGGGTCTCGGTGAAGAACAGTATGAAGAAGGGGAGTTCTGGGCAGAGGGGCACGAAGGGGATGAAGAAGAGCAAAAAAAAAAATAGAAAAACAAAAAGAAACAAAAAAAAAGAGAAAAGAAAAGGAAAAGAGAAAAAAAAATATATATATAAAATCAAAATTTGAAAACTCGGGCGGGTCGGTAACCCGGGTCGGGAATCCGGGTCGGATCGGGTCGGGAGACTCGGTCCGGTTTTTTTTTATTATTAATAAAAATATACGAAAATTCAAAAAATAAAAAAAATCGAAAATGTTTAAAAATCCCAAATTAATTAATTAATTAAAAATATTAAAAAATTCAGAAAATTCAAAAAAATTTAAAAAATAAAAAAAATTCAGAAAAATTCGGAAAAATTCCAAAAATATCAGAAAATTAGAAAATGTTCAGAAATCAGTTTTGGGCTTAATTTCACTAGATTTTAGGTTAAAACTCAAAAAAAAAAAGTGAAAAATGAGAAAAACCCTCTAAAAAATTCTCAAAAATCGGATAAGCCATTAGGGCTTTACCTTAGGGCTTTTGATTGCATTTTCTTTTTAGAGACGATGCTAGATCGCTGGTTGTTTATTTTCTTTATGATTATCTGGTTGTGCACTGTTAATATATTGATTGTTGTTTTCTATTTTTAGAACGGTTAGGCGGAATCTTAGTTTTTCGATAGGTCGCCCGGTATGTTAGTTTGCGAACATTCAAGTTTAGATACCGAAAGGGCACTAGTTAGATCGCTAGTGTAATCAAGTCCCCGAATTTTGAAATCTCTGATTTTCGCACGTATCGAGATGATACTCCCGCGTTTCGATCAGAGTTTCTAGCCAACCTTTGATCATGGCTAGTGGCGACTCCAATCGTATACTTAAATTAGACAATTCTCGTCGCGAGAGCTATGAGGCTTGGGAGTGCCTCGATCATTGGATTAATGAACCATTTGGTTCACCCTTCAAACGAACCATCGTTGTTCATATCCATCGACAAATACCTCTTGGCCTAAACTCGATCTTTGGCGGGGTAGGTCGCGACAGTAATAATCCCAGTTTGATGACTGACTGGAGACCACAGGTTATGGAGCTCGAATTCGGTTGAATTCCAGAAGTTTGCATCATGCACAAGATGGTCAGGACGTCCTCGTAGGAGCCATTAAGAGTATGCCCCGACAAAAGGCAGCTCCAGGTTATAATGTCCGGCTCAATTGTGAAAGATTCCAGCTTATGGAAGTGACTCCATGCATCATTTAGAAAGCCAAATGAGGCATAAGCATAGATAATGGAATTCCATGAAGTAAAGTTATGATCTTCCATCGAATTAAAAACTGCTCCAGCAAGTTCAAGCTCTCCATTTTTGGCGTACATACTGATGAGAACGTTGCCAATTGGCACGCTTGATTCCATTCCAAACCTCAAAACGTGGGCATGAATTTGCTTTCCTTGTGCGAGGGCTTTCAATTTGCCGCAAGCTTGCAGCACTCTGACAGTCGTTGTGCATTTCACCTTCATGCAAGAATACTGCATTTCTCGAAATAGCTCTAAAGCTCTTATCCACTGCCCCTGCTTCATGTTCAACTTAACTGCTTCATTCCATACAACATCTTCTCGCTTCGGCATTTCGTTAAACACTTGATTGGCACGCTCTATGCCCCAACATCTCTCATAGAAGTTCATCAGGGCACGCTGGAGATGAGCATAGGAATCAAGGGACGTCTTGATCACACAAGCATGAATCACTACACCCAACCACAAGTCCAATACACAAGTGCAAACTCTCAATGCAACAGTGAAGATCCTAGCATCAAAGACCATTCCTTTACAACGCAAGTCGTCGAATACCTCAAGAATCTGGACAGGCAGTTCCCTGAAGTCCTTCAATTCCTCCGAGAAAGAGTTCCATCCAACGTTGCTTCTGGCTAGGCCCAGCAAGAGAGCTAACGCGGCTGATCTATGATCTCCAAAGTTCACGTAATGCCTGATCAGGATCTTCACCAAGTGGTCATCAAAACTCCACTTGCCAGGCATTTTTATCATCTGGGCATGGATCATCTTCACAGACGCCAAAGAGTTGACCCCACTAAAGCCACCCACCACCGCGGGGACACTCGAAGGGGAAAGCTGCAAAGCGTAGGCTGGAGTTGCCGTACAAGGGGCAGTGTCACCAAGAGCAGGGCACGAGAGAGAATGGCATCTGAGCTTGGGGTTCTGGGTCTGAGGTTTTCTAAGGAAGAGTGTGTTGGTCTGGTGAAATGGAGGGAGTCCGTCCATGGCGGGTTACGTGGGTCGTTATCAGTTGGTCTCAGAAGAAGATGGCAGTTACGAGAGTAGCGCCACTGCCAGTGAGGGGGCTGCATTTGGAGTTGAAACTGCGAAAAAGAGCCAAAATAGGTTCCGAACTCTTCTTCTTCACCTTTGTGGATAAGCTGATAAGGTTGGTGCAATCCCAGAAGACGATATTTCTTTCTTTTTTTTTATGCCAAGTCTGCTTGACAGTACCGGAAAAAGTAAAAACTACCCTCCAAAATTTGCAAAATTGTAAGATACTACTTTAAATTTCAGAAAATTATGAAAAAAATTACATGTGATTCTACACGTCAATGTTTGAATAATTTGATAGGTTTCAAATATTTCGCATCACAGAAATGTCAAGATGGGAAAACCGCGAAGTTATAAAAAAGTCAAGTTGAAAGATGGAAAGTCCGACCGCCAATGCTCCTTTCCCATCGTCGATGAAATGAATTCCATGCCAGATCGGTGTGATGGTTGTAGCAGATGAAGGTGTGCTCTGTGTCATTAAGGTTTTCTGGTGGTCTGGGAAATAACATCAGTGGTAACTTGTACGTTACTAAGCATGTTGCAGAATCGACGGCCACAACATACATTGGACTCATACATCCTTATGCTTCTGCAGTCTCCCTGCGACTCTCTGATAGTTTCCTCTGTATACCTTCCGTGTCACTGTCCTGGGGTGTCTTTGGTTTCTTGGCTGGCTAATATGAAGAAATTGTTTGATCTTCACCAATTTCTATTTGGATGTGAAAGTTGTAACTTTTGCTTTTAAAACTTTTGGTACCAGATTTGGTGTATTGGTCCACATGCAATATTTGAGATTGACCTGTTTGTTGGCCGATCGCAAGGTAGGAGGTTTCCAGTCCTCCAGCACCCTTACCACAATATATAGGAGTTCATAATCGCAAATACTCTCTCTCTCTTTCTCTTTCACATGTGCACGCAGGCGCACAGAGAAGCTTACGGGCACAACATGAGTTCCACTCGGTAGTTGAGAACTGGGGAATATGCATCTGTTGTTTTGCATAAGAGATCTTTCATCAGGTTCTTCCAATACTTTCAGTAATTCCTCGAGGATGATTCATCTAGAATTCCGAAATGTTACTAAAGTTTTCTTTATGTGCTTGAGCTAAGGATGAAAATCTGCTTTGGAAGAGGAAAGAGCGAACCCCATTGACTTCCCACCCAAAAACTTGGGTTGAATTGTATTCATGAAAACACCGGCGAATGACATTAAGCAACATAGACCAGAAAAGAAACATGTTCTACAAACACATACATTCCACACTATCTTTAGGCACAGGAAATGAAATTGAATATGTATTTCATCAAACTGCATCATGGGAGGCCCCCACATTGTGAAAACAAAAAGATTAGCATCTTCCATGATCTGTGTTCAATATACCTGACCAGAAGTACGTTCAGATCTGATTCATAGATCATTCCAAAACCATAAAACTGTGTACATTCATACCCAACTTTTTATGAAGCACTTTGCTTACAGCAACCTAGAGGAAGAAGTAACAGCAAAACAAGTTGAGAGCTCTGCAAGGTAGTTACTATGGTGGAACTTCAATTTACAATCAAAGACCCTCACAATTGGTCTTAAGATCTTGCTAAATGTATTGGCTAGTTTGCAAAATATGTAGTTCAACAATAATTTCACCAACGTTGTCTTGGCCGACCATCAGGAAACACAGGAGCAAGCACTTTCTGATCCTTGTTTCTCGAAGTATCAGCCTGCTTAATAGGGCTGCTTATCCGCATTTTCACACTTCCAGCATCATCAGTAAAATCTGGTGGTGCATTATCGTCTTCATCAGTCCAATCTTCATCAGAATCCCCATCATCATCCTCATCATTGTCATCATAAAATCCATCATCCTCATCAATTGCATTATCAACATCAGACCAGTCTTCCTCATCCTCTAGACCACTTTCACCCTCTTGATCGTCAGTTCTCTCTGCTCCATCATCACCTCTTCTAGAAGCATTCCTCCTCGGGAACCTAGGAACATTAACAAGTGAACGGAGCTTTTCTTTGATGAGCAACAGCCAATCTTTCTCTATCAAGTGAGAATTGCGATATGCCTGGAAAACCGAATCCCTTTCCCCCTTCAGAGACACATAGAACAAATCAGGATGCCTGATCAACATTCCTCTCAATTGCTGAGAGAATCTGAATTCCTCTCTAAAATGAGTGAGGTGATCAACCAGAGTTCTTTTCTCCACAGTGAGGCTCAGGATCTCGTGCAAAATCAAACTGCCCCAAGAATGGAGTTTTCTGGGTGACCAGTGGGAAGACCCGCAAAAGGGGTCTCAAAGGAATTCTGGGCTTATCAAGAAAGTGATGCAAAAAGGGTGCAGGAGCAGTTGCCGAGCATTTAGGCGAGCAAAACAACAACTTGGGGTCCATGGTTATGGGAGTTTAACGAGTCGAAGGTACCGATGAACATGCGAATCAAAACATCTATGCATAGAAGATACAGAGCTAAAGTGAATATTGCAATTGAGAAACACAGAGAGAAGCGAACAAGATGACTCATCCCGCCTCCGCTTGCGTTGACAATGGCGGGCTCAGACCGTCTGGGGCCTTGGGGAAGGAAGAGAGGTTTATCTGAAACTCGACAAAAATGGTAAAAACCCTTCCCCAATATATTGGGTTTTTACAGAGTTGGACCTTCTAAGTTCTGGTATTTGTGCTATGTCTTTTTAATTTTTATTTTCTGCAATCAAGTCCCCTATCATTCATATTTTGTTCGTTCAAGTCCTTTGAGGTTTTTTTATTTGTGCAATCATGTGCTTCTGTCACGGGCCGACGGTTCCTTGGCCACGGAATAGCCCGTGCGGCGCGCCAAGTGGTATCAGAGCCGTTCAGCATTTGGTCACTTGCGCTTTTCCTGACAAGTGTGGCATTTTTGCCAACTGCATCTTCGCTTTTCCATGAGCGTTTCCTTTTGATTTTTGCACAATTTGTTTTCTTAGCATTTTATGACGTTATTTGTTGCAACGACAATGCTGCGACATTAATTGATCCAATGGTTTAGCCGAAGGATTTGATTGCACGAATTGAAAAACGTTAGAGAGTCTAACTGGATCGAAATTAAACTTAGAATACCAAAATATATAAATCAACAAAATTCGAGGACTTAGATTGTACGAAAGAAAAGTTAGAGGACCCATTTAAAAACACTAATATGCGGCATCCCCTCGACCCACCACCGTACGTCTCTCTGATTCCTTTGTTGCTTTCCCCGTTCGGTACATGTTAAGTTGTTAACGTCGTGGCAATCTGGGTTTTTTTTTTGCCAGCGGTTTTCGTTCGTTTGGGCAGATATGTTCTCGGTTCTTTTCTCTTTAATGAAATTTTTTTCTCCTCGGACATCGAAAGCTTCGATTTTTAGCTGAGAATATCATGTGGGCTGTCTCTATTCAGAATGTGGGGATGTAATTGGGAACAGTTCTATGTTGTGCACAATTTTCTCAGCTGACTGATAAACCAACTTATGTTGCCCTTCTGTTTTGGTTCTGGGTGGGGTGCATTGTTTCGAATTACTCCTGTATTACAGTGCACAGAGACCAGAAGGAGATCAGCCGTGGAAGTCCAACAATAAGGCCTATACTGTCTTTTTTGTTGTTGTTGTTGTTGTTTAAATTCACAAATGTACGTTTCGGATTATCGGCATGTTCAATTTATGCGTACTTTCTTCTGCGAATCTTGTTATGTTCATCAGGGTGACGAGCAGAAGTGCGGCTCCACGGTTTGAGTCTTTTGAGCAGTAAAATCTTTTGATCCATCCTGTTCGTGATAAGGAGGATCGCTAACAAAATCGTGATGAATCCTTTGCGTTCTGCTTTCACGTTCCAGCGTCAGCAGGGCGGAAGGAGTCTCGACGCACTAGACCAGGGACTGTAGCTCTTCAGGAGATTCTGCAATTCCGAAAGACTTGGGAGCTTATCCTACCAGCTTCTATTGGGCCTCTTGGTCAACGCCTTACTGGAAAACTTAGATACTGTAGAAAGTGCATTAAGGGCATAAGAACTTAGACACATTATATTGTCGGACGTCCGTACTGTATCAAGTTTTTTTTGTAAGTTGCAGAATCAGAGGCCTAATGAAAGGGCCAGTTGGCATGACGAGTTTCCAAGTTTTGTCGGAAATGCCCAATCTCCCGAATAGCCACTGTCTATAGTATCGAGCCCTTCCCTGTTGTCTCTTGAGATTCAAGGGAGAAGAAAAAATGTCAACCGATTTTGCTAGCAACCATCCTTATTGCTATAAAGATAACTAGAATGATTTAACAGTTCACAAGACTGACATCGTGGATAAAAAAGATCTTCCAATCAGCATTCCGAGGCGTTCTGGTGAGTTCTTCGATTCCATTGACGATATTTATTCTCATGCTTCGTCGATGTTCGATTGATTTTTGGCACGACTTTACAGGGATAAGCATTGAGAATTTTCGCATTCGTCATCGAATCAAGCGAGCTGCCGATGAGGTCACATGTCTGCCTTCTTCATCTTCATAGTCCTTCCATTGTCATGAAACTACCGTAGTTTTTTGTGGATGAAGCTCTTGCTTGCCAACCCGCTCAATGGCTTGGACAATACCTTCAGTTTGGGAGCGTTTGTGTGTCCATTTGGAGATGATTTTCAAGTGTTCTTTCTCATCATGCCTTTCAAGATGTCAAGAGGACGATATGCATTTTTGGATTATGGTCGGCCATGTTGAAGCACCAATTATTGAAGAGCCCTAGAAGATTTAGTATCCATTATCCTGCTTAGAGATAATGAGTTTGACAAAATCAGTCGAGTGTGATTTTAGGTCAATTTTGAATATTTCGATCTGATGGGTGAAATTACTCGTTTATCGCTCTGAATTGGTAGAAAAGTGAAGTCGGCGCTTGGTTTGCAAGACAAAAGCAAGATGTGAAGATGCTAACTCCATTTGTTTTCTATTGGGGAAAAGGTACTTCTAGCTTTTGTTAATTGATTAGGCTCTAGAATCTGCCATTTTCTGAGTTCCATCACTGTGGTCCTTTGAGATTGAGCCAAGTCACTTGTTGGTTTACTTGATCGATAATTATATTATTTGGTGGCGTTTTCCACCGATTCGATTTTGCAGTTGTCGGAAGAGTTCCGTTTTATGTTGATTCACCTGTGATTTGTTGTGGATGAGATCGGTTTTGGTTTGATGTTAATGTTGTTACTGTGTTTTGTGCTGACTTTCCTTTTGGACAAATAGGTCTTTCATTTGAATGAGAGTGATATATTGACTTTTGTTACTCCATGTGATTGAAGACAAAGAAGGCATGGAATACCAGCTTCATATGCTCAAGTTTCCATTAAAATAAAACCCAAATACGAAAAAAAGATGCTGAACATGGGCTATGTCCTAAACTCAGAAATTTTATAGGAAAGGACATCTTAAGATGGAATGGAAGGCAACCTTGAATCAAGCAAGTAGTAAACATATAGAACAGACAGATTAAAAAATAAAATGCATTTTCTTAGAAGCATTTGTTACACGACAATGACAAGAAGTTTTAGTAGAGTTCCTGCACGACACCTTAAGAAAATTAAGGTAAACTACCCTAAGAGTTTCATACTCGTAGCTTATTCCTTGTCCTAAACTACATAGACTCTAGTTACGGGGTTGAAAAAGGAGGACTTTTTCAGTTTGAAAAGCGTAGGAGATACTGCCAAACTGGTGAACTGAAGACATGGAGTTAAGTTTCTAGTCTTTTTGTTCTCAGCATACATTAGTTAGTAACTGAACTTAGACATACTCATAGCTAGCTTTGTAGTAGGATTAAAATCCTTATCAAATTCTCTAAGGGAGAGAGAATACATTTTATAATGAGGTTCAGGAAGTGCTGAGACGTTTTCCTTTCATATTTCAGGACAATTGTCTTGGTTGCATCATCATCAGCCTTAATGAGAATCCTACCGTGAAGCACAATCGGTCCTTACTAGCGAAGCATCGAGTAATGACTGATAGAGGCACACCCATTGAGGAAGGATCTTGAATTGGCTCGACGACTTGGAGGTAAGAGGCAGCCTTGGTGAGCGATTGCATATACTCAGCCGACCAGCAACGTTGTGTACTAAGTGATCCTGTATCTACTGTCCTGTGAATCCTCGATGATCTTGTAGATCCAGGAAAGTAATTTGCACTGTAGAACAATTGAGAAAAAGATTCCTCGGTGGATGTATTGGCAGAGCATCTTTTTACTCGCGGCAACGGCCCTAAAGTAAAGGGCTTCATGCCCTGCTGAGGTTCCTAAACTCTGTCCAGCAAAAAGATCTCTCTAAAGAGTATTTTTGTCCGGTCAAGTTTAGCCCGTCAACCCAGATTCCATCGTATGTAGCAGCAGGCGTAGAGGTAAGAGGAAGTAGATAGTTCTTAACTTTTTGAGCTATCCACATCCCCTAGCTTTTTCTCTGCATCGCCATGTTTGACCAGGAGAATCAAGACGCTGTGGCACTCGAACCCATGCGGACAATTAGGATTTAATAAAGATGGGTCGACAAATTATGCTTCAAAGCCTCATCCTTTTGGTTTTTTAAATAACAAGTATGTGAAGCGAGGCTCGCGGAGGCACATTAGGTGTCGTATTTTACAGGTTCACGGGTTCATGTGAGGGGGCTGTTTAGAGTGGAGCGCCCCTCATCCAAGCTCAGATCGCATCGCTCTCAAACCTAACTTTTCTAAAGTGGCCTAGGAATGACAGTTCAGATTTCCAAACTCTCTCTTCTCTAATACAAACAGTCAAGATTTCCAAACTCTCTCCTCATTTGTAATTGTAGCAGACCAGACATGTAATTGGTACAGAATACAGTTGATTATATAAGTTCGTTTTGGTATTATGTATATCAGATAGATTACAGAGTACGTATATGCTTCCTACGCATGTCCGTACTTAGTATTCTATACGTCGCATAGACTCCCTCTTTTTTGCTATCTTATCGTGATGTATGGACGATGTGATTACAAATTCAGCGTTCCATGATTTCTTTTTATGTTTTTGCTTGGTAGATGAAAATACATATGTAAGATCATACAGAAGAAGGTTGCATTAGTTAATTGGAAGTATGAACCCACAAGAATAAACCATCAAAGCCTATCGTCTTTTGAAGGGTTGTGTGTGTTCCATTCGACATGTACGAGCTACTAAGCCGATACACAATCACATTTTCGACCCGGTGAGTCGCACTCCGACTCCTTAGTATACTCTCGTACGTGAAGAAAAAACCGAACTATCGATTCACCGATCCCGGCTTGTACCAAGCCAAAAGGGTGACCTTTTTTTTTTGGCCAGTCAAAGGGGCGACCTGAAGTGATGGAAACATGGGGTCATCATGGGTCAACCACAAGTCAAACTCTTGGTCTTTTGTATGTTTGGTTGGACCAGCCGTTCCCATGTTTCTCCTACCAATGTCATCGAAAGAGACGTTGCCCACACACCACCAAATTCTTTATTCTCATTGTTCTTCTGTTCCCTTTTCCAGAAAATAATTAAACTAACGTGGTACAAGAAATTGTTTTGCTCCTCCAACCACGGCGGCATAACCCAATCACCCCCAAGAAAAATTCCTTGTTCTCTTGCACCCTGGAATGATCAGATATGGATAAGCGCAGGCGGAAGCGAGCCAAGACTAGCTGTTGCAGTCATGAAGGTGAGCGTTTCTTTTCCTGCTGCATCTTTTTTTCCTCTACCCATAATGGCAGAAACCGAAAGTACTTCTTTTCTCGTTCCTCCAATATTCTTTTGGTAACCTTTTCAACTGTGTAGCTTTTGTCCATTATTGCTCGACCTTTCATGGATGTCTCAAACATTCTCCATCTTCTTTTCTTCATCACTTTTGTTTGCCTGTCTCTTATCCTTTGTTATAGTTCTGTTGGCTCGCCATGATTGGTCGGTTATGTGATTTGTTTCGTTTTAAGTTTGTCTCGTCGCCTTCTAGCCTAACTTCTTCTCAGTTAACAAAACTGTTTGTCTGTATAACGTCATGTTTTTTTAGCAGAGGTGAGCAGTGTTGAGTGGAAGTTCATAAACATGTCGGAACAGGAAGAAGATCTCATTTATAGAATGTACAAGCTCGTTGGAGACAGGTACGGCAAAAAAAAATAGAGACTTTCCTTTCTTTCTTGTCATCGGGGGTATTGGAAAAACCATAACAAAATACACTGGATGGAACGAGTTCATGCACCGCACGCAATAGACCAATACATCATGCACCTCAGTTAGGTCTCATCTACAAAAACTTTTCTTATATGCACCGCGATGCGTACGAGAGTGGTTGAGACTGCATGCCACGCAAGGATCCACTTTATCTTTTGTGTAGGACCTAGCACTCACCGCAAATTATGCAGATAGATAAACTTTTCTCATATGTCTGGGATGGAGGTCCATCCGTCTCCATGCAGTTGAGAACAAGGGAAACCGGAAAATCGCGAAACACTTTCTAACAGAGATCCATCTAAGCCTCGGTTAACGTTTGCGCCAACTTGGCATATTTTTTATGATGATTTTAGGTGGGGGTTGATAGCCGGTCGGATTCCAGGTAGGAAAGCCGAGGAGATCGAGAGGTTTTGGATGATGAGACACCACAAGCTCTTCGCCAACACCCGGCAGGAGATGGAAGAGCCGAACGCCATCTTCGCATCTCTCCGAAACCACATGACTGCTCCCGAAAATTAGCTGCTGCTGCTGCTCTCTCTCCCTCTCTCCCTCCCTCTATTGTTCATTAGTCTTTGTTTGGAACTTTTAATGGATTTCGATTGAGTTGTGACCTTCATCTGATGAACGTGACGATCTACGTCGTGTGTGTGTGAGGAACTTGGCTTATTAATGTACGACCGTGTCTTGTTTCGGCAAAGTGAGGGTCCAAGTCTAAAACAAGGACGAACAGCAATGGAGGCCAGAGGGAATTTAATTGAAGGGAGCTGAGGAAGGAAGGGACATCTCGAATGTACTCTTGTTTGTCATCAATCATTTATGGTTTGGACGGATCATGCGTCTCCATCGTCCTTACATTGACATGCATTCGAACATTCAATTGCATGCGCATGCAAATTGATTGCTTCGAATTTATGTATGATCTGCCTAACATCATGATTGCAGCTAAGCCCCCCAGCTCCCAACTAACTTTGAAATTTTTTGAAATGTTTTACGGTATTTTCCGGTTATAAAAATGAAATTATTATGAGCCGTTTGGTTTAGATGGTGGCTTGACTTGTCAAACGGGTCGATCGGATTGGATTTGGATCGGATCGAAAATGGTCCGACTCAAATAGACCCATTTAACCCATGTTGACCCATTTTCATGTAATACAAATTTAATGACCCATACCTAACCGAACTCATACCCAATCCATACTCGACATGATCCATATTACTAAAACACTTCCATATTTAACTAAACCTAGGAAAACTCATACCCAAACTGAGATGAGAGTCCGAATGAGTGAGCGCGAAATTGACTGAGGGCTAGAGAGATAAGTTGGGTTTAAGTAAGTTGTAAACTTATTTATGACTCATTTATGATCCATTTATAATCCATTTAATATGCATATCATGTTTATATCCATTTATGACTCATTTATGACCCGTTTATTGATATGTGGGTTAAAAAATAGGTTTATGACCCATTTTGATATGTCATTGGTGGCCCATTTTCTTTAAATAAAATGGTGGAGATATCGTCTTGGTTATCTTGGACAGTGGAAAAGAATGCTGATGAAGACCAAAACCTCCTAGGAATTCTCGTCTCATGCACCTACAAATTTACCAAAGTACTAAATTGTCTCATATTTGGGAAGTACGTTCACAAGATAATAGTGCACTGATTACTTTTTCGTGTACTTATATCCGGTCCATATCTAAGACAAGAATCCCACGTTTATTATGTTCTAGGGCCTAGAATAATTTGTCTCCAAAATTAATATTCTTTCCTGAATTTGCCATTTTCTTTGTCCTGCCGGAGGACAGAAAGCAAGATGAAACAGAGGATGAAAAACTCAATTTTCGACTCTTTTTTCTTGATGTGTAATTAAGATTCAAAGGCAATTCCAGTCACGATTGATTTCATCACTCCTAGCGCTAAGCACAGGAAGCTCTCACGCGCGCAATAGGCTTTATCAGATTAGGAATTTTTTACCATTCTTTAATCCATTGAGGTTAATCAATGCAACCGACACATGCATCAATAGTTAAAGGATGAATTGGAAAAATGATATTGTTTTGTTGCTTTATATAAATAAGTCAAGATTCATGTGCAAACAAGTTTGAATTGCAAGATTTTGCAGGTGAACATTGGATTTATAGGGAAGGACATTGTAAGTGTCATAACTTTGGTATGATCTTCACTTTAGTGTCATAACTTTTCAATTGCCCCACTTAAATGTCATAACTTTTAAAAAGCGTTGCTATAACTTTTTAATCAATTAACCGAGTGTCGGAAAATACGACGTGACACTAAAATTTATGGCACTTATGGTAGACATTTTCTTAAAAAAATATGACATTTAAGTGATCAATTGAAAAGTTATGATACCAAAGTGAATGTCTTTTTAAAAGTTATAACATTCGAGTGATCAATTAAAGAGTTATGACATTAAAATGAGTGTCGTACGAAAGTTATAACACCTGTAGTTTCCTTTTCCCCAAATTTACATGTGGATACCTATAGTACCGATATTTAGGTCAATATTTTGAACTCCGTTTAAGCACCATGATTTAAAATTACAAATTGGAAAAATTAACTTTGATCGTGCATGCAAAAGGTTTATTTAGAGATGGCCTTGTACTTTTTTATTTTTTCGAAAGATAAGTTACTTTCATTACTTACTACAACTTGAAAAGCAAGAGCGTCCGATATCATAACATAATGAAGACAAAAATGTTTGGGAGGTTTAGATGGCCAAAACGGATTAAGGGAGTCATTCCGATGGGCCTTCGCCACCTAGTCCACAACATGATTGGCCTTCCTTGGACAAAAGACTAAGGAAAAACCATTCTTCTGGGAGATGGCCATGTACTTATTGCTGCTGTTTGTTGTGGTTTAGAATCGTATACTAAGTACCTATCAGCCAAATCAAAACTAATTTACAGAACTCAATAAAGATTAAGTCAAAAGCTATAGTTGGAAAGTAGTAAGATGTCTGAGAATGCTTCTCTGTGCAATAGAAGAACTTACATTAAGGGTATATTTGTTTTGGGAAAAATTTCATGATAAATGAAACTACTTTCCAGAAAATTGGTTCTTGGCTTGATTGGTATGGTTGTCATTTACCTGAGCATTGCTTCTACGACACGTGGTTACCATCAATTTTTTTATTAATCTAATGAGATGAATAAACTTGAGTACCATAGATTCATATACTTCAAAATTAAATTCATTAGCAACGATTAGCAAAGGCGTCAATGGAAGTCATTAACGTGGCTAATTAATGAGATGAACCAAACTCTAGATTAGATTCAAGATCAAGTTTATAGAATTTTATAGGTTTTTCAACCTTACCATTGAGACCCAAAAAAAAAAAAAACTCAGCAATTAATAGATATCATTAATGAGGAAAAAAGAGGAAAACAAAAATTGGAAGGCGGTTCGGGTCAAGGGCCCGAATGTGTAAAGCTCGAGTTGAGTGGTTAAGTTTGATTTTTCTACTTTTCAGTTTTTCATAATTTGGTCGGGCTCTAACTCTGAATTAGCAATTTATCAAGACCCAAGCCCACCAACTCTTTTTTTTTGGCTGCATTCTCTGGAATTTAGAGTTTAACCAAAAGGTTAACTTGTGAAACAATATGAAGCTAGCCACGCTTGGGTGCGTTTGGAAACACTTTTGGGGAAATCCTTTAGGGAAAATATAAAGGACTTTAAGTGAAAGAGTTTTTCAAAATGCAAATAGTATTTGGTAAAGTGTAATTTAAAAACACATTGGGAATCAACTTTGACTTAAATATCATTTGGAAAATATTACACTCTGTAAAGAATTTTTGTTGGTTTTTTCTTTTTGCAAAAAAAATTCTCAAACCTTTGCTGTAGAACTTAGCCGCCAGCTAGCCTTACTTGAGCTTGTGTGACCTTAGGCGGCGCTGGTTGGCGCCGAACTGGCTTGCTAGCAACCTAAACCCTTGCCCGTGACGTTGCATGAGGTTGGGACATTTTTTAAATTATGGAAAGTTTAGCAAGGGCAAAGTTGGAAGGAAAAAATGTGCTTGAATTTCGGAAATGCTCAAAGCCCAAATCACCTCCATACTTGCCTTGGGCTAAAGGCTTTTAGAGGTCTTTGGAAATGTAACTGAAATTCCCCAAAGCTTTCCAAATAGTTTGCCCACTGGCCTTTAGAGCCCAAATGGCTTTGGGAAAGTGGCTCCCCAATGCACCGTGTTTATTTGATTCCACAGACACTCACCTACTCTCAAAGAATTCAATTAGCTTCTCTTTTTATACATCTCTCTATCCTGTTTTTCTTTGCAATGACGAGGAACCCGACTTAAATTGGTGAGTTAAGCTAAAATCCCGATCGATAATTCGAATATGTGATTATTTGTGCCCGACGGTATGAGGTGGTTTCTGTTGGTGGGTGAAGCCAAACTTTTTTCTCATAGGCTTTTTTGTTTTTTCTTTTCATTTTGCTTTTAGGTTAAAAGCTACGCGTCATATATTAGCTATCGAGAGACAACAACTATGAATAGGCTGATAAGAAAATAGAGAGAAAAGGAAATGAGAGGCCGTTACGGCCAAAAGGAAGAAAAATGCGAGTATGTGCGACAAAGGTAGAAGAAAAAAATGGTTTTTTTCTTCACGAGTGTTCTCAATCTCCTTGTACCTTGATCTTGAGAGAAGATTATTATTATATTCTTACTTTCTTCGAAATCTAGTGGGTGAACTTGGATAACAGATTTTCTGATTTGTTCTTTCGATTTTGTTCTTTTATAATTATATTCTACTCGTGTGGATTGATTGCTTGTGCTATTCTTTTTTTGAATTGGTGTGCCATTCCTATCAATTTGATGGTGTCGAATTTCTTGAATGGTATATCAGTTGAAGTCTGTGAGACATGGACGCGGATCACGGTTTTTCTCTTGGTCAACTTCATTCAACTCACACATTCCATCTTATATATGAAAACGTTTACATATGAAGGGAATGGCTACTTTCTTTACATGGCCAAACCCCAAGACTAGAATATTCCATATATTGCAATATACAAGGTGTAACTCCAGAATGTATTTGGTGCGGTCTCCCTATTCTTTTATGGTTGTGATAATGACAAGACTATAATGTATAGGAATTAAATTGCAAGTGGGTCAACCGCACGGGGTCCCCTTATATCAAACTTTAGATCGAACTGAATTCAATTTCAAATGTCAAGGATGGAGCAAGAAATGGACCCCGTCCTTACCCTTTTATTTATCAGATGGCTTGGACCGAGTCGAATTGGAAATTTGGCAAGATACACACACCCAGTGTCTCTCTCTTTCTCAACTAACATCATATCATACGCCCCTTTGACCTGGTAAATAAATACCTAAATTAAACAAAGAAAAAGAAAAGGAAAAGAAAAACCAAGTCAAAGAGCTAGACAAAGCCCCACGCGTTGTTCATATCCACATCAAGGATTGCAATTTAATCGCCCAATTTTCTCGGTATCATCACCTCCCCAATAATATGCTAAAACGTTAACCACCCCAAAAGTGATCTCTTTCTATGGGTTCACACCACAAAGAGAAACTCTATGCCTTTGCCTTCCCGCGTGAGGCATTTCATGGTCAAGGACTTCGCTTGGACTT